TCCAAGATCTTTCATTTGAAATGTACTATGTAACATATGTTGAAGCTTGGTGATCAACCCAATGTCATTACCAGTGAGGATAATATCATCAACATAAACTAAGAGAAATACCATACCAGTGGTGGTCTTGTAAAAGAAAAGGGATGAATCATATTGACTTTGTGTGAAGGAGAAGGTGAGAAGAGTGTTGCGAAACTTCTCAAACCAGGCTCTAGGTGCTTGTTTCAACCCATACAAAGAGCGTCTTAGTTTGCAAACTGCATTAGAAGCCTTTATGGACATACCAGGTGGAAGTGTCATATAAATCTCTTCCTTAAGATCCCCATGCAAGAAGGCATTGGTTACATCCATCTGATATAAAGGCCAGGCTTTAGAGGCTGCAATAGCAAGAAGTGTTCTCACCGTAGTCATCTTAGCAACGGGTGCGAAGGTTTCTTCATAGTCGAAGCCATATTGTTGTTTATTGCCAAGAGCAACCAATCGAGCTTTGTATCTATCCAAAGATCCATCAGACTTGAGTTTCACAGTATAAACCCACATGCTCCCAATAGGCTTAACATGTGAAGGACAAGAAATAATGTCCCAAGTATGATTGGCCTTAAGTGCGTGAAGTTCTGCCTCCATGGCTTGTTTCCAGCACTCATGTTTGCTAGCCTGTTTATAACAAGTGGGAATGGAAATAGAAGAGAGAGTAGTAGACATAGCCACAGGAGTGGAAAAACCATACCTTTCAGGAGGTTTGTGAGGTCTAGAGCTTCTACGAAGAGGAGGGGGATCATAGGAAATGGGCAGAACAGGATCAGATGTTGCAGGAAGATGTGAAGGAACCTCGGTGATACCTGGAGAAAGAGCAGAAGCAGGAGTGCGTCTATGATAAACATAACCAGGTTTAAACCTTTGTATTAGTGTTGACGACTTAGAAAAAGATGGTAAAACAGATAAAGATGGAAATACAGAAGGCTGTTGGGTGCAAAAGAAAGGCTGATTTTCAAAAAATATAACATTCCTAGAGACACGAGTTCGACGTGCATGTGGATCATAACAAAGAAATCCTTTTTGGGTGACAGCATAGCCTAAGAAAGCACACTTGACGGATTGGGCAGTAAGTTTATTTCTCTCATGTGCAGGAAGGTGAACAAAACAAACACATCCAAAAATATGAAGATTGGAATAATTTGGTGCATGTCCAAACAAACGAACATAGGGAGAATCATTGTTCAAGTGAGGAGATGGTAATCGATTAATTAAATAAACAACAGTACATAAAGCTTCACACCAAAAATGAGAAGGAACATATGACTCAAGGAGAAGAGTTCGAACAACATCAAGAAGATGACGATTCTTTCTTTCAGCCACACCGTTTTATTGTGGGGTGAAAGGACAAGAACGTTGTGATATGATCCCATGACTTTGAAGAAAAAATTGAAATGCATTTGACATATATTCACCACCTGAATCAGATTGCAGAATTTTAATTTTGGCAGAAAATTGTGTCTCAACTAAGGCAAGAAGGGCTTTAAACACAGAGAAAACCTCACTTTTAGATCGAAGAAAATATACCCAAGTAAAACGAGTGAAATCGTCTATAAATGTAACAAAATATCTATAATGTTCATGAGAAATGACAGGTGCAATACCCCATACATCAGTATGCACGATTTCAAAAGGTTTGGTGGTGTGAGTTTTATGCAATGGAAAAGGAAGTGTTTTGCTTTTACCAAGTTTGCAAGATGCACAATCAACAATATCATTATGAGAAGAAGTTGAATTTTTATTTCCTAATAAACCAGATTTAAACAAGACTCGAAGTACATGAGAATTAGGATGTCCTAAACGTCTATGCCACACCTGATTATCACAGTGAGCAGCATTACATGCAACATAATTTAACATAGGAGAGGGAGATAGAAACAAGGGAAATAGACGTCCCACTTTAGGTCCCTTCACGATCATCTTCCCGGACACTTGATCCTGCACAAAACAACCAGATTTGGAAAAATGAACATCACAATTGTTGTCAACTAATTGGCCAACAGATATGAGATTAGTGGACAGCTTAGGAGACACAAAGACAGTATTTAGAAGGGCTGAAATATCACCAACAGCTGTGATAGACAAAGGATTACCATCGGCAGTACGAATATGAAGATTACCTTCATATTTTTTAACATTATTTAAAGGTAAGACAGTGTTGGTCATGTGATTAGAAGCAGCAGAATCAAAATACCAAGGCTTAGGAATGGAATTTCGGTTACCTGAAAGGCCTAAAGCAGAAAGGGTAGAAACTATCATTTGTTGGACCATTTCAGGGGTAATAGAGGACTGACCAGGACTAGGAGTATTGGAGGAACCAACCGAGACATTATAGGCGGTTTCAGATTTCTTTGGAGGCCGGATGGAGCAATCTTTGATGATATGCCCTGTTTTCTTACAATAGTTGCAGAATTTTTTGGTACAAGTAGTGGCAATGTGCCCAAATCCTTTGCAGCTATAACACTGAACATTTGACATATTTCTACCTCCTTTAAACCTCCCTTGAGCAGTGTATGCAACAGGGATTGGAGTAGAATTTTGAGCTTTCTGCTCCAAGACAGCTTGTGTAATGATCCGTTGTTCTTCCCTGAGAAGCTCTCCTACACAAATATCCAAGAAAGGAACTGGTTCTCTATTCATCAGGTTGGACCTGATTGCTTCAAATTCCCCTCTTAACTTCATTAAAAATTGATCACGCTTGCTAGTCTCATGCACACTTTGAATAACAATAAGTCCTTCAAGAGGTACACTTGCATACACAATGTCTGTGTACTCAGCCCAAAGATTTACAAAGGAAGAATAAAATTCTTGTATTGACATACTACCTTGATTGAGTTGACCCAACTCAAGTTCCAATTGAAACCTTCGTGCTGTATTGCTTTGGTTGTAAACTTTCTTTAGGTAATCCCACATTTCTCTAGATGATTTGTAAGGCTTGAGATTGAGAAGCATGGAGTGTTCCATACTTCCAAGGATCCAAGACATAATCTGAGCATCCTTCACCTCCCATTTCACATATTTCTCCTTTTCCTGCTCACTGTCAGGTGCAGGAACTGTCCCAGCAATATGACCCCATAATTCCTTTCCCTTGACAAAAATCTGAAACTGGAAAGCCCAGGCAGAATAGTTCTTTCCAGTAAATCGAACAATAAAATGTTCAGATCGTTCCATAGACAAGATTTAACTAGAAACAAGAACAAAAAGATCAAGTCCAAGAAAAAACAGAATAAAAGAACCAGATAAGGAACTAGACACAAGATGAATTGATTTCAGAATTTTGGCTCTGATACCATGACAAGATAATACAAGAGAAATTCTGAAATGTTTTCTGTCCCCCTTTCACTAAGAGAGTTACAATATATATATACATCAAGAAGTATCAAAACCCTTAATTCTAGCATCTAATAAACATAATCAGATTCTTTAATACTAGGCCTAGACAATAATTGAGATCTTTAGAGAGAATCCAGGGATATACAGCTATGACAGAAATTAAACAAAGAAAGAAGAATATAGTGACAGCTATGAAAGAAATAGAATAAGAAAAGGAGAATATACTGACAGCTACAAAAGAAAGACTAATAGCTATTAAAAAAATGAAATAAAAGAGAATATATTGACAACAAGAAGTTGCTGTACCTCCCTTGTCCATCAAAGGATTCAGAACAGTCATGCAGTTTTACCCTTATTGATACTTTTTTGTAAAGTTTACTTTTGATTAATGAGGATGCATTCTCATTCAGACTTTCTGCTTTGATATGTTAGTACCTCCTGGTTATCGTGTTGAACCAGAAAGAGTTGCTTCCACAGCCTCAGCCTCAGGTGTTAGAATTTTGCGCATTTAGCTTTTTGTACAAGAGAATCTGTTGTTGAATTTGGTGATTGGTCAAGTAGTTGAGCATTTGATTAGCAGGTTCCAAGGTAAAATCTCACATGGGAAGATTGATCATTGAACAAACAATCTTCACGTCCAACACTCCACGAATTAGCCATACAGCACCGCTCCTTTTTCGTTGTTTTGCCAGTCTTTACATGAAGGAGCTCTGCAATGCCTCCAAAGTGGATGGTATCATGCGTCTGGTTGGTGTTGCCGGCACTCTACTTTCTGATTACTTAATAAATCTAACGTATTCAGTGGCCTAATAGAGAAAAGTAGGACCCACAAATGATAGACACGAGTTACTCTTGTCACAGCTTCCAAAGCTGAACCATGGACTGTCCTAAAGCTCCCCTTCCCCCAGTCAGTTTCCATTATTTATCACTGTTAGGTCCTTTACCACTGCATGATCTCTCTATTATTTTGCGTAAAATGTAAGCCTGTTTCACTTATTCGTCTCTTTCAAAACCAGAATAGGGGGTGTTTCACATGGTTTTGCTTTTATTTTTAAATATTTTTTAAAAGTATTCTTTTCTTGAAAAATATTAAATTAATATTTTTTAGTATTTTTTAATGATTTTAAAGTATTCATTTAAAAATAAAAAATATTTTTTTAATATATTTTCAAACAAAAACTATTTAAAAAAATATTATATATCACAGTCCAACATTTACTTCGATTAAAACAAATATTTGCCCTCCGTCAAGTCCTAAAAATTACTAAGGCTACAAACAAACTGCCCTAATACCTACCTATAATTATAATTTTATAACTTAACTGGGGATCTACTTTAGATAAGAACAGACAATACTTGAGTTACAGGTGAGAATCGACTTGTCAAATGAGGTTTATTAAAAATACACACACACACACACACATATATAAAACATTATTTTAACAAAATTATGATTAAGTTTCGATATTTACACCCGAATCAATCAGGACAACTTAGGTTTTTAACCCAGTAAATGAAGGTTTTTTTTTCAATCTAAACTGTTCCACCCCATATCATTCAGGTACCCATATATACCTGCTGATCTGGTACAGGTTTTAAAACAATGCCTACAACTCTCTCTCTCCAAGACGTTTTGACTGTCTAGTACAACTCTCTCTCTCTCTCTCTCTTCCCCCAAGACATTGTGACTGTCCAGGCTTGTACAACTCTCTATCTCTCTCCAAGACATTGTGACTGTCTAGGCTTGTTTCCATGGAGAGATCACAGTCAGAGACTGGAAGGAGGAGAATGGAAAAGAATAAGGAAAGGGTGCAGTTCCTACCTCCTGGGCGTATGTTACCGGTGCCTCCCATGGTGAGGCCACCAGCAGCAGCAACCAATGAAGTGAGGCTAGCAGCAGTAGATGTTGAGTTGAACATACGGCTGAGATCAGCAGACATGCCTGGTGCAATGCAAGAGCATGCATTTAGGTTCAGTAGAGCACTCCTTGATGCTAATAATCTCGAAAGCAAGAATCCCAATCCTACTCGTATCGCCATGAGTCTCAAGAAGGTATGGAGATTTTCCATGGATTCGACCTTGATGATTGCACATAAAATTTGCTTCTAATACAGTCAAAGTATTTTTTTTAAGCATAGTTCCAAAAATGGCATCTTTTTTATTAACGAACAGGGCATCTATTGATACTACATATGAATGAACACTTCAATTTGTCGGTGGAACAACAGTAAATCTCCCTATCATAAGTTTATTACAAGACTCAATAGCAAGCAGAAAGGCACAGATAAGTCAAGTAGCCATACCCCACCCCACCCCACCTCTTCTCTATCCATTCTAATAATGTTGATTCGTGACATGAAAGAAGGTTGCGAGGAGGTTTGTTTTTATGTTTTAAAAATATTTAATTTTTTTAATTTATTTTAAATTAATATGTTTTCAATATTTTTAAATTATTTTGATATGTTGATATTAAAAATAATTTTTTAAAAATAAAATTATTAATATATATTCATGAAAAATTATTTAAAAATAAAGTAGAAAAACATTTGCAAATAAATTCTACCTCCACTAATGACTGGGGAGGCCAGTCATTGAGAACGAGAAGTGCTCATAGCACCCAAGTAATTTTTCAGGAAAATCTACGATGACTGTTAAGTTGAGATTTAATTAACAAAAATAGGATTATGGCTGCCAAGTTATTTATTATTATTATTTTGGAGCTTATAGCTTTGTTGTTTTTGTTTAAAAGCTTGCAACTTTATTAACTTCTTCAATAACACATCAATTCCTGATGTAAAGATTTTAGTTTTTTGTCATTCACTCAGAATGTATCTTGATATCCATACCGATTATACCATGGATTTTGTTCGAAGTTTTCAGACAACTGCGCCCTATGTGTTCAAACCTTGTTGAAATTTATTAGCGTTGGCTGAGTTGACAACAACCAAAATTATTTATGTGATTGACCTTAGTTGACTTGAACTTTTTCTCCCCTGCCTCTTTTCTTAGCAATTCCTTGCAAATGGGCATATACAAGGAAGTTTTGGCACTACTGTTGTTCATTAGTCCCTTTTCTGTTTCTTTTTCCTTTTCTTTTTCAGGAGTTTGATGCAATGTATGGCATCGCATGGCACTGCATTGTTGGCAAGAGTTATGGTTCATTTGTAACTCACTCAAGTGGTCGATTTGTATATTTTTCCGTGGACAACCTCTCTTTTCTTCTTTTCAAGACCGAGGTCCAACCAGTGAAGAGGCCAACTCCATTGCGCAAGCTCAAGGCATAAATTGGTCGTGCTCATTAAAAATCTGCTTGAATTTTAAGTAGACGAATTTGCATTTTATGGACAAGGGGAGGTTATGCTATGACTTGTATTTGGGACCTTCTCTAAACTCGGTTCTGATGCTGTTTTATTTACTCTTTTCCTTTCCTTTTCTTCATGGCTTTAGTTTTTCATCGCAAGTAGCCAGATTTAGTCTCGAATAACATTAAAATATTGTAAATCCTATTTTAATTTGGATTCGGGTCTTACAATATATTGGATTGCCATACAGGAAAGTCTAAGAACTACCGAAAAATTTCACAAATTACAGTCTTTACTATAATTTATTTGATCAGGATCACATTAGTTTCTCTCCACTAAAGCGCTAAAGAATTATGAAGAACGATAAAGACAGTCTGCCAATTTCCTTCATGGCTATAGAGGCTAGTGATCTTGAAGGTGGCATAGAACCATGCAGAAGCAACTCTGCTTCTTCTTATACAGACACTTTTGCTGATTATATTTATTCTTCCAGCTCGAACTCATCAAGTGTAACTGCTTGTTGGGAATCCTGGAACACTTCTTTCGAATGTGTTGATTTGGGATCAGAAACTGTTGTAGACAAGGAAGTTGTAACATGGGAAACCAAGATAAAGAAAGAAGATGTGGGGTCTTATAAGGAGGAGAGACAGAGATCAGGAGCTCCCTCTAAAATTATGGCTTGTTTCAACTTTCTGTGGCTTCTCTTCTGCGCTTGATAGGATTCTATAGGTTCTCTTCTCTAATTCTGTTCCGATTAGTCTCGACAAACTGTGGTTCCTTGTCTAATTTAATTACTGGCTGTTCTGTTCCGGGATCTCAGGCTTTTAGGGTTTTTTTTTATTTTAAAAAAAGACAATTTTGAGCCAGTTAGGTTATTTCTTTTATATATATATATTCTGTTCCAATTAGTCTCGACAAACTGTGGTTCCTTGTCTAATTTAATTACTGGCTGTTCTGTTCCGGGATCTCAGGCTTTTAGGGGTTTTTTTTTTTAAAAAAAAGACAATTTTGAGCCAGTTAGGTTATTTCTTTTATATATATATATTCTGTTCCAATTAGTCTCGACAAACTGTGGTTCCTTGTCCAATTTAATTACTGGCTGTTCTGTTCCGGGATCTCAGGCTTTTAGGGGTTTTTTTTTTTAAAAAAAAGACAATTTTGAGCCAGTTAGGTTATTTCTTTTATATATATATATTCTGTTCCAATTAGTCTCGACAAACTGTGGTTCCTTGTCCAATTTAATTACTGGCTGTTCTGTTCCGGGATCTCAGGCTTTTAGGGGTTTTTTTTTTTAAAAAAAAGACAATTTTGAGCCAGTTAGGTTATTTCTTTTATATATATATATTCTGTTCCAATTAGTCTCGACAAACTGTGGTTCCTTGTCCAATTTAATTACTGGCTGTTCTGTTCCGGGATCTCAGGCTTTTAGGGGTTTTTTTTTTTAAAAAAAAGACAATTTTGAGCCCTTTTCGTGACGATTTTACTGATTATCGCCTATTTGATGATGGACTAGGAGCGCAACCAATGTGCCAATTATTTTCTTTATTCCATAACAATAGCATTGCGTATTCAGATGATGTTCCATTGAGCAGTGTTGATGCTGAAGCTGGTGGCGCTTCTCCTTTTCCTTCAAACTCCAATGATGCTACAAACAAGAAGCAACATGGAATGTGGTCTGCCTTCATGCAGTGTTTCGAGTTCTTAAATATTTTTAGCCGCTGATCAATTATTTAGTGGAGAGGAAGAGCACATGTCTTTGCTCCCAATTCCCTCTTATATTTGTTAAGAGTACTCTTTATTTATTTATATTCTGCACGAGTTATTAATGGGGAACGCTAATTTGATTTCATGGATCGTGCATGTTCAATTGTTTATGTTGAAAATAGTGTTTTTCTTTTAATTCTTGTTCATCTTACACATGAACTGGGTTTTTCTTTCTTTCTACTTGGGTGACTGTTTTCTTTCTTCTTGTTGCTATTGTTCTCTTCGCATAAAGCACTGACTGGCTGAATATGTAAACTTTATTTTTTCTCAGCAATATGATATTTTTTGTCCAAATCCCATTCATATTCAGACTAACTTCTCTTCAGATGGGTCTAGATTCAAACTATCTATGCTCACGGCCTTTCTTTGGATTCAAAATCGGAGAACATAATGTGAGAAGACAATCCACTTAACACCGAGTCGATATTTAGGGTTTGTTTTATGTAACAGAGGATCATACTTGACTATTCTTTTTTTTTTCAAAAAAAAAAAATCCCTCCTCTGATAACTAGAACTGCATGTTATTGAAACTGAGGTTCAATAATTGGCACTAAAATTATTTTAGACCAGGACAATTATAAATAAAAGTTGATGCAGGGAAATTTTCTCAAATACAAAGGGTGGCCATTGAATGAACTTAACGATTGCTACCAATGAAATACTACCACAGTGTAAATAGCGGTTAATTTTTGAATCATGGGTTTGCAACCCTGAACAGACGCACACGTATATGAACATTGTTGCAATCTTTCCATGACTGCTAAAACGAAAAACACAAAGGGTTTGCCATTTCTCTTTTAATGCATAACTGCTATTCTGCCTTGGAAAAATTCCAACTTCAAATTCTTGTCTTGGCAATATGTTGATATTTGGTAAAATGGCTTCAACATCACCGACTGCACGTTTCAAACAATCGGTTACTCCCGCTTCTCTTAGGGCGTATCTTGCAGAGTTCATCTCCACTTTCTTTTACGTGTTTGCAGTTGTAGGATCTGCCATGGCTTCAAGTAAGTGTTGAATAGCAACTTCTATTCTGTTTAGTGAAAAGGGATTGGCTTGATTGTCCATGTTTCTGGCTGTAATATGTCGGTATAAATGATCCTTGTTTGTTTTTAATTAGTAATGTTCTTTTTTAGTGAGACAAGAACATGTAAAATGGAAATTTAGAGCCATTTGTCAATTTTGCTGCGGTCTTGTTCTGATAAAATGCAAACAGAACTGGCTGGTTATGAAATAAGCATAGTTGTCGACTATTGTGGTTTTGGTTCTAATAACACGCTGAGGCACATTCAAAATATTGATCAAAAGGCATGATTTAGTTTTTCTAGAAGTAGAGAGTTTACAAGTTTTAAGGTTGATGTTTGATTTTGGCATGTATCAGGGAAATTATTGCCAGATGCAGCAGCAGATCGATCCAGCCTAGTGATAGTAGCAATGGCGAATGCTTTTGCACTCTCATAGGCTTTGAACATTGCTGCAAATGCCTCTGGACGGCATGTGAATCCTACTGTCACATTTGGCATGGCTGTTGGAGGACGCATTAATGTGCCCTCTGCTCTATTCTACTGGATTTCTCTGATGTTGGCCTCTGTTATGGCTTGCATTTTCTTGAAAGTGGCCACCGTAGGACAGGTGATAAAATCCGCTCTCAGTTAATGCAAGATAGATTGGATAGGATCCTTTAATCGATTGCAGCTTTCTTGCACTAATAATATTTGCTTACATTTTCTTGCACTGCGCCATCACTAAGATGCAACTTCTATTCTGTAATTTTCTAGCATGTTCCAACCAACACAATTGCTGAGGAAATGACAGGATTTGGAGCATCTCTGCTAGAAGGTGTGATGACATGTGGCTTGGTGTACACTGTTTACGCTGCCGGGGACCCTAGACGTCGTTCATGGGGCGCCATTGGACCTTTGGCAGTTGGTCTTACGGCAGGAGCCAGTGTCTCGGCTGCAGGACCCTTCTCAGGTGGCTCGATGAATCCAGCCTGTGCATTTGGGTCTGCAGTTATTGCTGGGAGGTTAAAAAACCAGGCTGTTTATTGGGTTGGACCCTTGATTGGAGCCGCAGTTGCTGGGCTTCTCTATGATAATGCTGTCTTCCCTACTGAAGCTCCAGATTCTCTTAGGGGGGTTTTAGATGACGTTGTAGTTTAATTGCAGTTTGATGTAGCTGACACTTTGTTCTTATTGTACTTCTAAGCGGTCACAGTGTTCCTTTAACCTCTAATCATTAGTAAATTACGGCACTATTTGTTTTTCCTGATTATGGGAGTATTTTGATCGCCTCTTTATTTTTTAAAATATTTTAAAAATAATATTTTAAAAATAATTTAAAATAAAAATAAATAAATTTTAGTTATCCTAATCCAATGAGCTATCAGCATACAATTAACTTCATCAACGATTGAGATCACTCCAAGCTTTTTACACAACCTCTTCTGATCCTACCCAGTACACAATAAACAAGTCCCCCCCACAATTAACAGCATGATCTTCATCAAGCTCGTACTTAGAGGCCCTGACAATGGGTCTGCGGCACCACGCAGCCCAGCAAGAGGGTAACAACAAGAAGCTGTTTTTAAAGGTCGTGGATTAATGGGAACACGAGACCATGTTGTAGTTAGAAATTGAGATTATGATTTTTTATATTAACAACATTGATTTCAACTTGAGTTTTTTTTCAAGCACATCAAGTTTAATCATGATTTTAATTAAATATATATTTTAATTATAAAAAAAATTATTTTTAAAAATTTAACTTTCTCATAATATAACAATAAAATTTATTATAATATTAAACACTTATAACAATGCTGGTGGTATTAATAATAGTTGTTCTGGTGATATTAATATTGATAATATTATAAATTTATGATAAAATACAATAAAATAATAATTGTGTATAGTAGTGATGATTGTTATTGTTGTGGAAGAATAAAATAATTAAACGACTATATATTACAAGTTAATAGAATATCTTTCTCCCATGAAATATAGAGTCGATTAAAAAATATTTTATATTGATTTATGTTTTAGTATTTGTCTATATAATATTAAAAATTTATTAATTTTTCTTTATAAACAAACATACTCAATCCCTGTTTGTTTGCAGGAAAGTATTTTTTTTTTAAATAAATTTTTAAAAAATAAATTATTTTATGATATCTGGTAGTGTAATGTAAAATAAGTTGGAAAATATTTTCTAGTGTTTGGTTATGTCATAAAAAATAAGTTGAAAAATAACTTATTAATATTTTATTTTTCTTATGTTTATTAAAATAATTAAGACCAAATCTTATAAATTAAAAAGTTGAATGTGAATAAAATTATAAAAAATATAATTCATAAATTATCTCAAATAAAATAAATAATAATTAAAATAATAAAGATCAAATCTAAAAAGTAAAAAAAATAAAAGATGATGAAATTAAAATAATAATACATAATAATTTATAA